TATGATGACATCAAAGCTACGAACAAGCCAGAGTGCGGTTTTATGATGACATTCATCAATGAGGTTTTTAATACGTTGTCTCATGCGAGCTTGTGCACGGCGCATAGAATTTCGTTTCCGTGAGGGTGCTTGAGCTGTGCGGGAGATAAGGTCGTCAAGGCAAAGAGAGAGACGAACAATCCTTTGAGCATCACCATTGCCAATACAACCAGAGCCATATGTAGGCGAATACCTGAAAATTAATAACTTAGTTTAAGATGTTTATAATAATAAAATATTATATCTAACCCCAACTCACCATGTTAAGAATGTGCAAACACCCGGATCTAGTGAGCAAATGTTAACACCCCCCACTTGATTCTCGTGAGGGGTTAAATATTTCTTCTCATAAACCCAAATAAATGTCCACTGTTGTCTGGATCATTCCATACCAATTTAGAATCATTATTTGCTTTTCCTTCCAAGTTGGGCCAATTATTATTTCTTTTGCGAAGTTCATGGTGTAGAGGTGGATGTGTAGTTGGATTTTTATGTCGAGGATGTAATGGGTCATCAGATCACAGCACGAGTGTGGAGAATTCTAGGATAGAACTTGAGATGATCAAAACAGTTTTGTTGACGGATCATGATGGTTTGATGTAGTTCTTTGCGATTACGAAATGAGGGACGATGAAATGGCAGGCCTCCTGCAGCTCATGCTTCTTGGTTCCTTACTTGAACGAGATCGCGTGCCTGGATCGCTTCTTTCATTGCTTCATCAAGTATATTGTATGGATGAAAGACCAACTACCATCATCAATCCGCTGACGTCGAAGAGAACGGAAATAGGCAAGATTGGCATTGCAATTTGCACCTTGAGATGCCTCAACAACCATATTGTAAACCAGTCTATGAAAAATTGTTATTAATGACAATACTTTCCTACTTTCTTAAATTGCTTATTCTAATTTGCGTATTTGTAAGATTGGCTGTTGGAGACTTTTTGCTTGTGGCAATTTGCGTATTTGTGAGATTTGCTGTTTGAGAAGGGTTGCATATATATAAGTGTTTTTATCGTATGTCATGTACAAGCTGCAGTTTTAACCAGCACACCCCATCCACCTCTTCATCAAGTTCTTCTGTTTCATATTCGGGTAAATTCGCACTTTCAGACTCCTTATTAATCCCTCCACCTTCCTCTTTTTCCGTGTGTAACTGAGCAGGGCACCTATTTTCCGCTTCTTCTGCATATCTTGCCGACTGTTTGTTTGTCCTTCTTCGCCAGTTTACGTTGTCCTTGCATATGGCAGATGAAGACTGTATTGATTGCGAGGATGTCCTGAACAAGTCGGATGCAGCGGTTGATGGGTCATTACTTGAGTGTACCACGACAATCGTGGTACCATTGAGACGGAAGATGTACTCGATGAGGTCGAAAGCAAAGCGACAGAGTCGGTCTCGGTGGGCAACCACAATCTGAAATAGGTGATGAGCATGCGTTCGAATGAATCGAGGGAGCAACCAAACACAAAAAAACTACTTCTGCGACCAAGCCGCGACGCGAGCGTTCCAATAAGGTCTTAAGTCCGGGTCTCTTACAATTGATGCCGCTTGCAACGTCTGTGAGGACGAGATGTGAAGGATAGAGTAGTTGGAGATCGTGTTTCTGTCGTTCGAGGTCGTTCCGTTGCTTGGGACTCGAAACTCGCGCGTAAATAAATTTGGAAGGCTGTTCGGTAGAGGATCTGGTAGATCCGGTGGGTCCGATGCAGGTGGAGAGGATGTGGGTGACATCGTAAAGGCGGATGCCACTGTAGGTTCGTTCTGCTTTTATACGTCCTTGAGAGTGCCA